TTAAAGCGAAATTTCGACGTGCGCTGACCCTCTGTAGGGACCTGATATACGGTTTTCATCGCTCTTCTCTAACCCCGCTGGCCAAATTTCGGGGTTCATAGGGGTAACCGATAGCTGTGTCCATCTAGCCTGCCTTCAGCAACTCATAGTGAATGGATCCCTTCAACCTCTTTCAAATTAAGGGACGATGCTTGTGTTGCTTCAAAAGCTAGTATCTCCTCCAGTGAAGCGATCCAACATCCATGTGTTTAGAAGAAGGTGATTGTACGAATCGGGTGTTGTCCATTTATTGACCGCAATGCTGCTAAAGCCCACACGCGTGCCCTTATTTACCCATGTGTTGATTACCTGAGGAATGTCCTACAAGTTTATCACTCTTGCTACCGTGGTCACACTGTTGATACAAATTGTTGACGCTTCAAATTTTTTGTCGCAGGACTTGCCTTCCAACCTAATATTTTCGGCTGTGGAACCTTTGGGATCGAGGGGGTGGGGGTATGCAAAGGCCTTTGATACTCTGTTGAGCTGTAGCGTTTGCACTGGTAGTATAAGACATGAAGCAGATACTGATATGCTCATTTTTATTGAATCACATCAAATCGTGCCAAATATGTCACCCATCGTCAGTGTCTCCGTCACTTTTACCAATTGTCACTGTCATTGCCTAGCCATGCAGCCAAGGTGTACCGTGTGCAAGAGCCTAATTAAATATGCATATAACAAAGGTGGTAATGCAATGTAATGCCAAGCAGCGCACTACTGCACGCATAGTTCGAGAATTGAATCCCCGACTGATACCCGCCCGAGAAACCAGAATTATCATCCACCGGTGTCGGTTGACTGGTACAAGACTCCTCTATGATAACAGAGCAGACTTGTACTCGGTTGGCCGTCGCAAGTCCTTGATTAGATTACATTCACAGACAAAAAGAACACTACGATCTTGAATGGAAACAAATTCGCAGGCATATCCACCAACGCAAAGAAAAACTACTATTTATTCTGTTGTAAAGTGTCTGGGCCACCCGCTGGCCTACCACCTCAACGCGGTGGGTGTGTGAACGTGGGGCGTGTGGGCGTGTCCGCTTTACCACTCTTGTTCAAAAAAAAAAACCGGGTCCTGTAATTTTTTACTATTTCATCATTTGCTCCAACACAAAGTTCCGGTAATTTCCAGTTATGCGAGGCTTTATATTGACCGACTTGCCGCTTCGCGTTCGAAGCTGTGGTTAGGTAGTTGTCGATGAACTGGAGGGATGGCGGCCCCTTGCTTGAGTCCCCCTTATCCGTTCGCCCGAGGTCGCGGTTGAATTCGTTCTTCACGCGTTAAGTTGCACACGGCAAGCCCCGGTACATTACGTCTAAATCACTGCGTTCTGGACTAAGGACAAGGACTCGCTCGGGGAAATATCTTCCTACCAAAAGGGAGGCAACCTGTTGCCCTGTCACATGCTTTCGTCTTTAACATCAGATGTCGGCTTGTATGGTCCGAAAGCTCTCGCCAGCATTTTTCTACTGTTCGATGGTAACTTTGCTTGGAGCTTTCATTGTCCATTCAATTATATTTATAAATAATATATATGTATATAAATCATCGGCACGTCCGCATGTCCACACGGCTAAGAGTAGGCCCCCCACGTGCTAGAGCCTGGCAAGTTACACGTGGATTCCATGCCAAAAACAGTAACAAAAATGGGCCTCATTCCCCTGAACCTGAGGGAGCCCCCAATACGGCGGCGTTGGGTAGGCCCGCTCGGGAGAGGCTGCTAAAATCTCAGGGCCAAAACAGGCTGCCCAAAAGGAGAAGGACTGAGATGGCGATCTGTACTTTCAACGCAAGGACGCTTGCATCGGAAGCGTGTATAGAAGACCTGATGATGCAAGCTAGGAAAATCAAGTACGACGTCATCGGACTGACCGAGACGAGAAGGCACCGCCCGCTGCACGCTGTATTTGAAACTGGAGAAGAACTGTTCCTTGGAACATGCGACAGCAGAGGCGTCGGCGGTGTAGGTGTCCTCGTCAACACGCACTTGGCCATGAACATCGATTCGTACGAAAGCTTAACAACCCGAATCGGACGTTTGCGATTAAGAAGATGTGGCTCAATCCCAGCACTAACCATCTTCGTTGCTTACGCACCAACATCGAGCTACGAAGAAGAGGAGTTGGAAGCNGAGCAGACGGAAACGCGCGGCGTGGGGAGCATTTAAGAACATCGAGGGAGTAGTGAAGAAAACGAAGAACATCCGGCTCCGCGCTCACCTTTTCGACACTGCGGTACTTCCTGCTTTGACATACGCCTCAGAGACTTGGACTCTACGAAAGCAGGATGAGCATGCAGTTAGCGTCATTCAACGCGCTGTGGAAAGGACGATGCTCGGAATTTCCCTATACACGCAAGTGCAGAAGGGAATCCGGAGTTCCGAGCTCCGTCGACGAACGAAGATCAGGGATGCCGTTGATTACGCCAAGAGATCGAAGATCAGGTGGGCCGGACACGTTATGCGATATAATGATGACCGTTGGACCAGGGCGGTTACGGACTGGATCCCTCGGGACGTCAAGCGAACACCAGGACGGCCGCCAACGAGATGGTCAGACTTCTTCACGAAAGCTCTGAACGAAAGGAATGTATTGCCCCGTGTCCCTCGAGCGAGTGCGATTCACTGGACTACTCTGGCTCGCGACAGGGACGAATGGAGACGTTACTGGCGCCCGCTCGAGGAAATCGACGATCAACGGGAGTACAGGTGATACAGGTGAAAGTGTCTGGGAACAGGCCTTTGTAGTGCCTCTGAGAAACAGATTGAAACATAATCATAAAGAATCATGACTCCATCCAAAGAAGTAACTCCTACAGGCACTAGCTGAATTTCCTTTGCAGATTGAAACAACTTATTAGGATTTGATTTTTCTCTTACTAAAGCTATTTGTGCAGATGTGCTATTGCTACTGATGGCTACATCTTCACCTATAAGTGATTACGTCGAGGGTCACGCATCGGCCGACT